GTCCTTTGGTTGATGGGCTATAATCACAGACATATAAATTTTGATCATAAACAATGAGAGATGACAATGGAAGAGACAGGAACGAAAAGCTGAAACCGTGGGAAGGGTAGTTGGAGCCGTAGGGAGATCATTTTGATGAGCGGATTTCTGGAAAGCAGACCATTTATAAGCATAAAGCTGATTTGTGGCAGGTTTTCTCATGAGAGTGAGGATGGTGCTCAAAGAGGGTGGCTCCTCTATGGCGTGAGATGGAGAGATTGTAGGTCAGGAAGGTAAGTTTGCTCCTGATGCTGGGTGAGGGGTAGATGGATGGAGTGAGAGGCTATTCCTGATGCTGGGTGAGAAGGTGTGGGAGGAGGGGTAGATGGATGGAGTGAGAGGCTATTGCTCTGAGCATCATGAACCATGTTTGTCTTGGTCACCAAGGGGCTATCAGAATGGCATTGGAATGGTCCTGTCGCAATTTGACAATGGTGCGCAGGAGAAGTGTAATCGGTGGAGAGAGGTAGAGGAAATGTGTATTCTATGTTGTCATGAGAGCATCGTTGAGGGAGCCTTGACCCAGGCCTGCTCTGGAGAAGTACTGGATACAGTGGGGTCTCTACTTAAGAACTTAATCCGTATTGGAAGGTGGTTCTCAAGTGGAAAAGTTCTTATGTAGAATCTGCATTTCCCATAGGAATGCATTGAAAACCATTTAATCCGTATCTGCTCTTTTCCGTCCATAGAAACTAATGGGAAGCTGCTATTCTGCCTTGTACCACTAGAGGGGGATTTTTTTCCTTTTTTTTCCCCTTAGGTCAGGGAACAGTGTTAAAAGCACTTCTGACGAAGCTAATTTTGAAGCAATGGACTGAAAACCAATTAATCTGTTCTGGCTTTTTTTATGTAGAGGTGCGTTCATACATTGAAGCATTAGTTCCCATAGGAACTAATGCAAAGCTGGTTAATACGTACTCTACCACTAGGGGGAGAACTTTTTTTTAACCTACGATGACCTAAGGTTAAAAAAAGAGCAGGAAAGTTTTTTTTTCCTGTTCTTATCTGGATTTTTGTTCTCAAGTAGAAGCAAAATTTAGCAAATGGAGCTGTTCTTAAGTTGGATTGTTCTTAAGTAGAGACGTTCTTAAGTAGAGACCCCACTGTACATTTGGTGTTGCTTGCTGTGGCGAAAACGTCTATGTCTGTACGACCCTATTTGGTGCACAGATGGAAAAATACAGTGCCATTGAGGGACCACTCGTGCATCTGAGAGTTCAGTCTGCTGAGAGAGTCTGCTAGTTGGTGTTGTTGTGTGGCAATGTGCACCACTATGGGGAAGATATGGAGCATTAGGCACCACTCCCAAAATTGGACAGCAAGATACAGAAGAGGTACCTCCCTGTTTGTTGATGTAATAGAGTGTTGTCGTGTTGTCCGTGGTCACTTGCACTGCAGTGCCAGCAATGAGTGGTTTAAAGGCGCGGAATGCTTTGAAAATCACAAACAATTTGAGGTTGTTGATATGCAAACCTTTCTCATAAGGGGACCAGGTTGCATGAACTTGCAGATCATTCAATGTGCGCCCCAACTGACAGGGCTGGCATCCATTGTAATTTGAGTTGTCAATTGGAGAGGTGTAAACAGTCTGCCAAGAAAGAGGTTGGCTGGGGTGATCCATCAAATTAACTGAGAGGCAAGTTCGGGAGTGACATGCAGAAGCATTGTGGGTGGGTTGAGAAGAGGGTCGGATAGGGAGAGGTACTATGATTGTGGCGAGTGTATTTTTAGTCAAGCGTGCTGGATAACGGATGTGGTAGAGGTGATGAGGCTGAGGAGGCATTGTACTTAATGAGCCATGATGAGCGTGTGAGGCTGGAAGTGGTTGACAAGGGTACGTATCTTGATTGTACGTTCTCGAGGGATATAGGCTCTTGTGTGACATGAGTCTAGCACAGCGCCTACATAAGCAACCCTTTGAGAGGGAATTAGTACTGACTTGGGGCCTAGATCTGCTAGTAAAGAGAGGGTGAGAGCAATGTCCTTCAGCGCTTGTGCATGTGACTGAGCTAAGAGTAACCAGTCGTCAATGTACAGTAACACTGAGATTCCTAGAGTGCGAAAGTATGCTGCTACAGGAGCCATGCATTTCGTAAATACTTGCGGTGCTGTGGAAAGGCCAAATGGAAGAACACTGAATTCATAGGTAGTGTGACCTAGGGAGAAGCGAAGAAATTTGCAGTGATCTTGTCTGATGGTAATATAGAAGTATGCGTCGCTCAGGTCGATGACTGAGAACCAGTCTCCCTTTTAGAAGAGGAAGAATACGTTCTAGTGTCACCATGTGAAAACACTTTTGAATGATAAAATAATTGAGGTCTCAAATGGGCCATAGACCGCCGTCTCATTTCGGGACGAGGAAATAGCGAGAGAAGAATCCTGGGTCGGAGGCACTTGGCCTGATGATTTAAATGGCTTCTTTCGAAATGAGAGACTGAATCTCTAGCATGAGGGTGCTGGATGGCAGGGTTAGGATGGTCCGCAGTGGGGGAAAGGGAATGAACTCTAGTGCGTATCCAGTGAATATGGTTGACAGAACCCATGAATCGGTGGTTATGCATGCCCAAGATTGAAAATGGACTGCCAGGCGGGTGGTGGGAGGAATGGATACGGTACGACTATCACGGTAGGCGAGTCAAAGATTCTGTTTATTCTTTTTATCAGGACGCCTGAAGGATTGGCGAGGATGCTGATGCTGACGCGGTTGGAATGTGGAGCATTGAGGTAAGTAACGTTTTTCTGGGAAAGACTTGTATTGGTGGAAAGGTTATAGACGATGCCACTGATATCTCTGAGGGCGATAATACAACTGAGTATTATATGTGTGCTGTCTTTCTCATCTTTTGTAGGTTGTCAAGAATTTCATCCATTTTCCTGTCAAATAGGCTCACATCATCAAAAGGTAAGTCCTCAATACACATCCTAGAGTCCTCTGATATTTGAGCGGAGCGGAGCCAGGCATATCTGCGTAGAGCTATGGCTGTGGCCATATGTCAGGAGGCTGCTTCTATTATATGGTATGCAGTGATGCATTCTTGTCTCGCCAATGCCATAGCCTCCTGAGGCTATGTACTCCCCAGATGCTGACTGTAGTGATGGTAGGGCCTTGTTCCAGAGGAACTTATGGTAGGCTCCCATTGCTGCTAAATAGTTGGCAGCACGTAAGGTGAAAGATGCAAGAATGCAAACTCTACAGCCGATAATGTCCAACTTCCTTCCCTCTTTATTGTTTGGAGTGGTGTTAGAGCAATTATGTGCTCGGTGTGGTGGACAGCCCACACATCACTCCTGTCAGTCATTTTAGAGCTCCAGTGCAGGGGCCTATGACAGGACAGGAGGGGCAGAGTCAAGAAAACTGGGAGTTGTATTCGCGAAGGCTTTCATGGCCAGGATCTAATGGTTGTTGTGGGTTTTTCGGGCTCTTTGGCCATGTCCTGAAGGTTGTTCTTCCTAACGTTTTGCCAGTCTCTGTGGCCGGCATCTTCAGAGTTTGTGAGACCCTGTGTCTCATCCATCTTGGATGGGGGACAAAGAGATTGCTCCCATAAAAACGATTTGAGGCATTGTTGGTGGAGTTTGATGGCTTGCTTAGTGAAATTTTTACAATGGGAGCAGGAGGCCAGTTGATGCAATTCTCCCAGACAAAATAGGCAAGAACCGTGGATGTCAGACACAGGTAACTTATTCGTGTCCTATGTCCACCTCTTAAATGGCCTTGTGAGGGGCCATATATGGTGGGAAGGGAAAGGGAGGGGGCAGGGGAATGGTAGAAGGAAAAAAAATTGAAATCTCACAAAGAAGAATGAAGAGAATCTATTCTAAATAACAATGATACAATTTTAAATGTTTCATCAGGAAAAGAACAGATTGCAGAAACGGAGAGCTCAACCGAAGATGAGGCCTCAGTGGTGGCAAAAAGAAACTGAGGTAATCTCCAGGGCGGGCTTACCACATGTGTTCAGGGGGCGGGTCCTGGCAAAAATATGTTTGAGCTCTAGAATATTCCGGAGACCTCTGCACAGGTTAAACCCATCAGTGTGCATTCACAGAGACCAAGAAGAAGAACCAGGGCTGGCAGTGGGATCATTCAAAAAATAACTATTTATTCATACAAAACCAGTGACAAAGAGAAAGTATCACCATAAGGTGCACCAGAACAAATTTTCCACTATGGACTAATAATAAAGTTCATCATCTTTCTTTAACTTCCTCATCATACCTTCATACTTTTCTTTGCACATAGAATTCAACATCACTTACTCCCAATAAGCGTATTAAATACGTAACATAACAAGGTAAAAGCAAGTTTTAACCTTGTTTTTTTTTTTAATTTTTATTTTACATTTTTTTGGCTAGTGTTGGCATAAAACAGAACACATTAACAGAATTTATCGTACTTCATATATTACCAAGTTTTGAAGAATAAAAAGAAATTAAGAAAACACGGGACTTAAACCAGAGTATATCTACTAACTGGTAATAAATTCTCGTTCCTTTTGAAAATGAGAAAAAGAATTAGAATGTTCACATCTGTCAGGGGGACAAAAGTGTATGACTTCTGTGTACGCGATGTAAAAAATTTCCACCTACAACCTTTCTTACATTATGGATGGAGGTTTTCTGGAGTTGCAACTGGTCACCCCTAAGACACACGTCTGCAAATATGAGTCAAGGTATACTGACTGAATAGCAGATTGCCAATTTTTTGGCAATGGAAAATGGAGTTATGCCCTTCCCCTAATGGCATTGGCTTCTTTATTGTTAATCAGGCCTACTTAAAGCCTAGGACACTTAATGGCCATCACAGCACCAACATCTCCTACCTTTTTAGGGTGTTTTTTTTTCTTTTTGCAACTGTAACATTTCACATATACATACTTTACATCTTGAGGTTATTATTACTATTCCAAATGTTCCCATATGAATGCAGGTATGGTCTCTATATTTGATATAAATGTGTCTTTATTCAACTTTTCATTCCAGAGTTCTTTTGGTGTCCCAACTGCACATGAAAAAAGTCCCCCTTTTTGTTGTTGCATAAGAAGAAAAGTGTCCTTAGTCCAGAGGCTCCTGCTTTATTCGAATGACAGAGGATGAACGAGATGTCCGTCTGAGTTCCCTCCTAAGTACATATTCACTGAACTGAGAAGAGTCCACCCCTCCACCACAGGAGCCAACAATTTCAAACCCTCTTTGCTGCAACCTTTCAAGTACCTACAAAACAGGGCAAGGGAAAGATTGTATCAGAACAAAACCAGAAATAGCAATCTACCAAACATCAAAAGAATTAAAAGTATATCTTGGAAATGTTTCTCTCTTAACACAGTAAGCAAAGCAATGTACAGTCATTATTCTTACGCTAAAATAACCCATGGATTCCAAAATGACATAAATGTCATGGGGTGATTATTCTATCACCTTATTTTTAACAGAATATTTTCACACTTTGCTGATAGTAATTTACCAGCGGCTAAATGCTTCCTTTCATGCTAAATGCCCATTTATTGTTAAATAATCATAGCTTTCATGTGCTTTATTTCTGTTTTCATAGTCAAATCCCGGCCTCAAAATAATCTAGACTTCAATGCTTTCAACAGCAGATATCTTGGTTCAATGGATAAAGAAATGGAAACCATCTTTACTCGACTACACAGTGAACAGGCCTTTTTAAAAAAATAGTCTACAAAATACTGTAAATATACTTTTTTAGTTACCCATGTACAGATTCTTACTTATGCTTCCCGAAAATATCTTTGGTTCATTGTAGCATATAATTATAAACTGGTGATAGTCCTCTTATTTCAATCAAGTACAATATGTAGATGGTTTAAATTGTGAAATGGCTCAGCACACAACTATTATTCAAACTGGGTCTTATAGAAGACATCCAGGAGTGGGGAAAATTTAAAGCAGAGATAGGCAGTTGTTCTGGACTACAAGCCCCATAATCCATATTTATTGCCCATGCTGGTTTGGATGCGTGGAGTGGTTAAAACATCTGGACAGTTCCTAACTTCTGATTTACAGAAAACTTCACAGGAAGTGGTACAAATGTTTAGCTTTCTATCTCTCTGTCCCTACCAGCTATTTAACTGTATCTTTCAGGCTTTTATAATTTTTTTCCATTAAGTCAATTCATTTAGATAATGGCACATGAGCCCTTACTGGTGGAATCTTGTTTGTCTTTGTCTAATGGAAAGTTATGCCTATGCAAATTTGCAAGGCATTAAACCCAAGCAGTAAGGACTGCACAATTCTCCTGTGGAAGTGCTTTGTGAACAGCATTTCTGCACTGGTGTGATTAGCTCTACTGCTTGTGTAACATCAAATTATGCTAGTGTAGTTGTGCAATAGGATTTCAGTCTATATGTCATAACATGGAAATATCAGCAGCAGCATGAGGCAGATGATCTCAGTACATTCAAGAACTCAGGAAGATGCTACAGTCTCAGAAGCATCTGTGTGCCCAGATATCAACTGAATAGGTGTAATGCATGCAACTAGATCTAGTGTTACAAATAACAATTGGTCATCCAATGAAACATTTAAAAATTCTCAATATTCATTAAAAACAACAATGAATAACAATAATTCTGTAAGCAAGTAATCAAGGACCTTATTTCTCAAGATGCGTAATCACATAAACATGCTCTTTGTGTCTTTAAAATTGAGACCCTGGAAAAACCTCTTGGGACACAGCTTTACCATGCTGGATGGGGCCTTCTAGAAGCTACGTCCCCCGTAAAAGTTAACTTTTTCAAGTTCTGTTCAAACTTAGATATGATACATTCATGAGCCTGACCCAAAACTGACATACTTGATAACTACATACCTGAACTGAATTGAGATGACAATATCCATTTAAAGGAAATCTGATTACGTGTGTTGAATCATGATTCCAACCTGCATTCACTGAATTGCACATCACGTCACCAATTTCTGGGAAAACCTCTTCTATCAAGGACTTGTCACCGCTCAAGGTAATCCTCTCTCCAAGATCCGGGGCAACACGCACAACCAAACACTCACAAGATTTTGAAAATCGGCCTGTTTCCCGATCTTGTTTCCACCTTTCCATTTCTCCTAGCATGGGCTGAAGCTGAAAATACTTTGCTTCTTCATATAACAAACTGTAATCCTGAAAGACACATAATTCTCAGTGCAAACAGGGAATAGACTCTACCTGCCATTACGTTTACACTAATTTAAAGTAAAATCTATGTATTTTGAACTATAATTCCTGTTTGCATGGCCAGTAGTAAGGAGTCAGGAGTATTATAGTTCAAAACATCTGAAAAGAATTAGGTTCCCTGTTTGTTTTCAGCAGGAGGGCAAGGAACAATTAATCTTCTCCAAGTAATGAAAGCTTAAGGGGGAATGACACTGCATGAAATCCTGCTATGCAGTTACACAAATGGTATAAATTCTAGAAGTGAATGGCCACAAATGAAGAAATCTTGGGCAACTCAGCATGCAATAGCTCAGTGGTTTCCAATTTGGGGGCCCAATATGTTCTTGGACTAAAACTCCTAGAAACCTTCACCACTAGCTATGCTGGCCAGGATTTCTGGGAATTGTAGTAGAAGAACTGGGGGTCCAAGGTTAGGAATCACTGCAACATATAACATTTCTGGAGATTTCTAAACAGGGCAATTTGCTTCCAAAAGCTTTGCACAACTGCGCAACAGGATTTTGGCTACTGAACGATAGGCGCTCCTGTGCTGTACTGTGTTTTTCTGAGAACTTGGAACTAAGCTTGGAACTGTGTTACAAGTCATGTGACTATTCAGAAGTAATGTGTTACAAACCATATGGTTGTCTACGATCAATTACTTTTGGGTTCCAAGGATGTAAAGAAGTTACATTTCAAAAATAATTCAATTATCAGGAATAGTTATCCTGTGGCTATAGTAGCTAACATATTCCACTTACTTTCAAAGTTATAATTTAAAGACATTTTAGAGACTTTTTCACAGGAAGTTTTGTGTTTTCTGTGTACGGGTTTTTGTTTCTAAGTAAAGCAACAAAAACGTTACAAGAAATGAGACAGGTAATGGAACAAATTAGCTTTTCCTCAGTTCTTCTACTACAATTTTGTAAGCAGTAATAGTGAATTACTTTTCAACTCCAGTGAATAATATAATTTTCAAAAGCAACTTCTTCACCTTCGTTTTTTCTTCTTTCCCATCTGCAGCAAATATGTTACAGTATTTGCATATTTATCATTCCATACATTTTCCTGCCCCTCCCAGAGGCAGTCAGTGATACTGAGTAGGGACATTACTCTTTAAAAAACTAAAAAACAAAACACACAAACAAAAACACAATCTCCCCCCAAATCCCCCAAACAAATCAAATCAAAACATGAAACTGAAATATGCAGAAAAAACTGTGGGATATGGCAGCATCTGAAAGAGAGAGCAGGACAACTTAAAAGGTGTGCTATTCTTATGAATAGTTTCCTATTTGTCATAATATTTTGGCCACTACTTTTTTCCAGTCTCCATGCATGCAACAGCAATCATGGAAGCTTTGCCTGCTTAGCTGAATTTGGCTTCACCTATTGCTGTTCCGCATAATATAATACAGTACAGACCTTTATTTTGTACTAAAAATATATACACAAAAGACAATAAACAACAAACAGGAGGCAAATTCATGTTCAGTACCTATTTAATTTTAGATCAGATCTCTGAAAATATGGGATAAAACATTTCTAGTCAAATATTTTTGGTTCCTTATATAAGTTTAAAAAGAAGGTGGAGTGCCCGCTTGAAATGTAATAGCAAAACCCATAGAAAAATAAAAAAAAACCTAAGAGGAAAAAGCTTTTGTACGGAATTCACTGGCCTCAAAGGGACACAATATTGCTCTCCAGACATTTTCAAGAGGAAGCTCTATTAGGCACAAACTTCCTACCAAGAATCCGGCCTGTGATAGACGATTTGGCTGGGTTTCCTTCAAGGTCTCTTCCAAGAGTGAAATTTGTTATATATCAAAAATGAATTGACATTGACACCACCATGTATCAGAGTGCTTGTTTCATTACTATCTGAAAAAAACCTGTGAACTGTGACCAACAAGACCTTTTTAAAAAATGACTGACCTCCAGAAAAAAAAAAAACATTAGGGGCAGTAGAGAAACAGATGCCAATTCTCAAGTGGACATATGTACTAATAGGCTATTTTTAGACACTAAGTGCCATTTAGAATAGTGTGCCTAAGAAAGCTTCTGAAGGGTAACTTGGTCCTACAGGATTTTGTGAATACTGTGGTTTAGCTCTCTGGCTGGAGTTAGGGTGCATTTCATCAGTCAAACATGTTTGGATTTTCCTACTGAGTAGATAAGTAGGGCCAGATGTTTCAAATAACCTGGGGCTAGGTTTTTAAGAGTGCTCTCTCTCACACACAGCCTTTAAAAAATTATGGCCCTTAAGCAACATGAATAAAACAATTACACAGTTTCTTGAAATTCTTCACCTCTTTTCATGGTTTCTCCCTCATTCCATCTGAATGCAAACAACTACCATGTTTAAGGCACATCATGCTAAAGTGTCGGTTGAAAGAACATAAAAAACATTAATTCTGATGGTACTCCTAGCCGATGCTAGGAATACAAGTTAAAAGCACAACTTTTTAAAAGTTGGTTGCTGAAGACAGGAATTTCTTAGAAATGGAATCGTAGCCTTGTACAGTGGTGCCTCGCTAGACGATGATAATCCATTCCACTGAACTTGCTGTTTAGCAAAATCATTGTCTAGCAAAAAGCGTTTCCCCATTGGAATGCATTGAAACCTGTTTAATGCGTTTCAATGGGGAAGAATCATTGTTATCTAGCGAAGATTGGCCATAGGAAAGCTGCTTTGCAAACCGCCAATCAGCTGTTTAAATAGCTGTCTTGCGAAGCTTAAGTCCCGAAAACACCCGTTTTGCGAGCACGGAGGGAGCTGTCAAAATCGTTGCCAAGCAAAAATTGGTTTGCGAAGCAGGGACCAAACATTGTCCAGTGAAATTCCCCCATAGGAATCACTGTTTTGTGAATTGCTACAGCGATCGCAAAAAGTCAATGTCTAGCGAAAAAAACCTGTCATGCGGGGTAACTGTCTAGCGAGGCACCACTGTATTTAATTTTGAACACTAATTTAAAAAGAGTTTTGCATAGTTCTTAAATCTGATTCTAAAATGAACTAGGGTTTAACTTTAAAATTATATTTATCTACATGTTTGCTGGAATCCTACTGGTGTTTGGTACGATGTGTGCAATTTGCTGAAGTTAATTGTAGCCAATTGACTAGCTGCCAACCTTAAGTGAACAGCAATAGGATTCTGGCTGTTGGCATATTTATTTATTTATTTTATTAAACTTATACACCGCCCATCTAGAACATATCTACTCTTGGTGGTTTACATAAAATATAAAAAATAAACTATGAAAGTATAAATGAACTAAGAATGAAACCTAAATTAACAGCAGAATCTAAGATGGAAAAAGAAAAGGAAAAGGAAAAATAGGCTAGGTGATGGCTGTAGGCCAGGGAAGGCCTGTCTGCCATGTTTTCAGATTGGTCTTAAAGGCCCCCTGCCATGTCTTCAGATTGGTCTTAAAGGCCAGGTGGATCTCTACAGGTAAGTTGTTCCAGAGACGAGGGACTACTGCCGAGAAGGCCTAATTTTTTGGTTTTTTCCCTCCAGACCTCTCTCAGCGTTAGGCCTCTCAGCCGCCCGGCCTGACTGGAATGGGTGATACAGCTGAACTAGGGGGAAGAAAGCACTCTGCCAAGTATCAATGGTCAAATTCCTATTGAGTTTTTATACTGATGTGATACAACTGGAGTGGACCTTGCTGGTGAACTGACCAAGTGAAGAACAGGTTGCTTACATGTAACTGCAGTTCTTTGAGTGGTCATCTGTGAATTCACACATATGGGTTTGCTTTACACCTGTGCAAATTTCCTATGAGCCTAGAAAAGTGTTTAGGACATGTCCTAAGAAAGCTTGCTCCGTGCAAGCTCACTGCCATGAGGACAGTCCTCAGTTCCCCCAGTCTGTCACTATTTTAGAAACTATAGCAGTTGTGCAGCAGGTTGAAGGGAGGATGTGTAGCTTGTGTGAATTCACAGATAACCACTCTAAAGAACTACTGTTGCAGGTAAGCAACCTGTTCTTTTCCATGATTCCGTGAAATCACACATATGGATGACTGGCAAGCTCACTTATCAGCTGGTGAGATGTCACATTGACACAGAGCAGATCTCCACTCCGCTGAATCATGCCTAGCCCATCTATAATGTCTGATGAACGTCAAAGGCTGTGACCAGGTTGCTGCCTTGTAAATGTCCCTCAGTTGAATTCTTCTGAGAAATGCCATTGATGCAACACCCACTCTAGCAGAATGCCTTCTCAGGGAACTGGGTAGTTGATTCTTTGCTAGCTGGCAACATAAAGTGACTGTGCTAATTATCCACTTAGAAAATCTTTAAGATGTGATATGGTGATCCTTCTTTGGCCCTTGATGACCAACAAGGATTCTAATGGACTTCTGAAAACACTTCATTCTAGAAATGTAAAAGGGCCTTGTGGCTATCTAGAGTGTGAAGTGTTCCAACTCAGAAGCAGAGAAGGAGAAAAGGGAATACCAAAGATAGATTTAGGTGAAACTTGGAAACCATATTAGGTAAGAAGGAGAGATTTGGAAATAACATTACTTTATCCTTGCAAAACTGGAGGAAAGGTGGTTAGCACTGGAGGAAAGGTGGTTAGCACAAAGTTTTGTAAGAAAACCAATGGCAATCTCCTGAGATTGGAGGTTGTCATTGGTTCAAAAAGAAGTGTAAGAAACAGACTTTTGTGGCATTTATTTAAGATGTAATAAAAATGAAAGACTGCATGCAGTTTAGAAGGAAGCAAGTAAGGCCTATGTAATGACATAGCAAAATGAAACATTTTTTCCCCATTTAGAGCTATAACTGCATCTGATAAATGGTTTTCTTGCTTCAGTCAGAATTCCCTTCAACTCAGGTGAATCCTCCAGGCAATTGGTCTGAGGCAGATCTGAGTGACAAACTGTGCCTCCTGTCTAATCAGGTATGCGGTTGGAAGATTAAATATATGTATCGCCATTTAACTGTAGGTGGCAAACCAGGGCTGGCACAGCAACCAAGGAGCTATCAATATTATGCTGACCTTGCCTTGTATGACCATGCCTTTACTGTGACTCTATGCAACAGAGGTACGGGAGGAAAGAGACAGAATTTCTTCCAAATCCAGGAACTGTAAAGGCATCTCCTCAGCCAACTGTAAAGGTGTCTCTCCATAGATATGCCCATAAAAAGAATCTCTTGCATTTCCTGGACTTGTCCATAAGCTGCTGCAACTTATAGGTAAGTCCACTTCTGGGTGATCCCAGTAAATGTAATTGTTGTTGAACGCCTCTGTGGATAGATCAGGGTCTTCTCTCTGCTGAGTAGATTGGCTTCATGGTTTTCCTCCCCCATGACATGAATGAATACTGGAGTCATCAGAGAGTTCAGCATCAGAGTTGTTGGAATCGACAGAGCTGTTAGTAATGGAGTCTTCTTCCTGTACGTGTTAGTGACGCCTGGATCTGGATGGAGACTGCAATGCAACTGTATGTTAGAAATACTTTTCTGAAGCTTTCCCTGTTTTTGTTTGTTTGTTTGTTTTGTTTTCAGAGTGTGTTGTTGATGCTTAGCATTTGGCACCTTAGGCAATTCAGCAAGAAGACAGAATCCCTGCTTGAAACCGAGGACTGGTTTAGAGATCTTCAGTTCAGAGTGTGTAGATGGTGGAGGAGCAGGTGTACGTTCTCTCCATGCCTTGTTCTCTCCATGCCTTGTGGATGGCTGTGATATTGGAGACTTTGATTCTGATGAAGAAGCTGAGATGTCTCGTTCACCAGGAACCACTGAAGCCAATAAGGCTGAAGCCAGTGCGTGTCTAGCTTTACAGTGCTTGGAAGTTGTAACCTGGAGTCTGACCGGGATGGAAGATTATCAGTGTGGGAAAGTGCTTTTCTGAGATCTTCCATTGACACTGAATTGGAACAGTCAACATGGGAGAAAGATGTTCCCTCTTGGGAGGTGATCTCAATGTCAACCCTTTAGAGTTTACCCCTGCTAGATTTTTCTCAAACCAAAAAAATGGAGCATGTGGAGAGGGTGTGATGACTACAAAGAAGTAACTGCAAATATTAGTGTTGTGCACTAATCTGATATGCAATAGCAAATGCCTACACTAACTTCTTTGTATGGTATAGTTCACCAACAAGATTTATACCAACTGTTATAAATGCTGATGGGCATAATAGGATTTTTGTGAAAAGTCAAAACCTGAGCAAGACTGAACACTAGACCTTTAGTGGTAGATGGCAATGGGAGGAGGGATGAACCTCCTTCCCACTACTGCTCTGTGTGTACCCCAGAAATTGTGTCTGGAGCACTGGTTGTTGGAGCTGGTCATTGGGTGGTAGGCAGAGCTGCAGGAGGAACAGAGGGGAGGTACATGCAATTGGCAGCTCAAAATCAGATTTAGCCCCATATCACAAATGATAAACACATAAGAGAAGAAAAATATTGGAACCATTTGATAGTGCAAAATTTTGAATTTTATCTGCTGGTTAATTTATTGTAGCTGGTTTTTGTTTCTTTTGTTTTGCTGTTCAATATACAGTATTTTATGATGTTACTGTAAGAATTCAGAATATTAGTATCTTATGATTGACTGTGAAAGCCTTCGAGAATATATCATGTATTGTGTTTTTGTTCTCTTCCCTACACTGCCCAGTGTGGTCTCTGGCCAGATGGGTGGTATGGTGGTATGTATGTATGTATGTATGTATGTATGTATGTATGTATGTATGTATGTATGTATGTATGTATGTATGTATGTATGTATGTATGTATGTATGTATGTATGTATGTATGTATGTATGTATGTATGTATGTATGTATGTATGTATGTATGTATGTATGTATGTATGTATGTGCGTGCGTGCGTGCGTGCGTGCGTGCGTGCATGTATGTATAAATAAATGGATACTTAAGAATTTATACAAGTATTGACGGTGATGGTGCATGTGTAGGGAAATGCTACCATGCTAGAACCAGGGATAAATGGTGTGGTTCTCCTCTCTGACTGAACTCAGCTGCTGACTGGGAATGCTCCACATTGCTTACTACACTGCCTTCCCAGTCTTCTTCTAGCTTACAATCAAAGTATAAGGGAATATACTGTATGGATAATGACATAACAATGTTAGCCTCTATTTAAACTGAAATCAATTTAGTTCCCCAAATTTCTCCCTCAAAACTCTTCTATACAAAATTAATATTTAATAGTGCTTGACCATTCCCTATGTGCTCAAGTATCTTTCTTTTGTTCCACTCCTACAAACATTTGATTTCAAATAGCATAAGACAGCAGCACTGTTGCACTTTACAAACTGTAGCACTGATAAGCTTCTAAACAACCAAGAATTTTAAAAAGTTGTATGTTATACTCCTGTGGTTGAAAGCATGCAAACTTCGGATGAAAATTTCATAAATTGCTTAGGCGTTTATTCACTACAGATTTTTACAAAGTCATTATATATTAGAAAGTTGCTCATTTATGATTTTTCATATTTGAAACCTGCCAAAGTAAAATAATCCAAAGATGTCATGATAGCTAAAGCAACTGAAGTTTTAAGCAAAAGATGCCAAGAAATTTAAAGCTTTTGGATTTTTCACTCACATTAATATATCTTCATGAAATACTTCAAAAATTACAAAATGTTGACAACAAAGAAGAATATTTCACCTTGAAATCATCTGGTATGAGGAGCTTAGACGTTCGTAGAAAATTCAAGATATATCTGAACATTTGACCATCCCTGTCAATGAAGTAGTGTTGCTTGAGGCTGTCCAAAACAATTGGTTCCGTGCCATCAAAAAGCCTCCCAATTCTGAAAATGAAACAGAAATTATTACCAGCATCCACTGTATTCTGCATCAGGAGTCACTGGCCATAGTAACTGGTTGATTCTATCACTTTCTTCATTTAGCTAAATTCAGCACTGATGGGCTTTAATTGGGGAGGAATAATACTATAAGTAAGTGTGGCACAGTGTTGAGTTTTAAGTGTGAATTTGTAAAATATTAAAAATTGAACGGAAAAATAACAGGATACATTGATTCAGGATACATTGATTGAAATGTGAACTTTGTTGCTATTACAACACACTATTACATCACTCTCTGGTGCAGGAAAAAGAAAGCCTGTTCATTATGAGCACTCTTGCACATGCACATTTTTTCCTTCTGTTTAAAGCATCTTGCAGCACAAACCTTGGGGGCTGAGAGTTCTGTGGTCTTTGGTTCTGATCCAAAAAAAATATCTAAGTATATGAAATCTGTGAATTGTTTGGCTTTTATTTTTAAATTCAGAACATTCTGCATTTTCATTCTTGATGCTGTGCTCATCCACCTTCTTTCTTTGTCCGTGTGAAAGAGTGATTCAAGAGACAAATGGTGCAGCTCTAAATCAAAAGAGCCATCCTAAAATTTCATTTTACTTATGATGCCAAGTTAACCTTTTCTTTTCCATTAGTCACTCCCCAGATGAATAAAAAAGAGAGAGACATCTTTTATAGGGATGTTACTTGTTTGTAATAATCTTAGCCTGTCGTTCTTCTAAGGGTCAAACAAAATAGTATTTTCAAGGCATGGCTCACAGTTATATCCAGTCTCCCTTTTTCCACAGTCAAATAAGGCAGGGGATCTGATCTGGGCCCTAAAATTTGATGTAGGGAGACTTTAATTTTTTGCCTCTTATGTCTGCAAATCTGTACCCCTTGCAACACTAGGATTTTCATTGGGTCCCCTCTGCTAACTTTTCATAAAAGAATAGCTGTAGATATTACCTATATCTTTGAAGAAACTAGGTAAGGAGCAGTGTCTACAATGAGGTCCTCTTATTTCATTCCTATAACAACTCTGCACTCATAGATCAGGATGAAAGGGGAAAAATTGGTTAAGTCATCCAGCTTGCTGGATGGGAAGGAATTTGAAGACAGAGTCCATAGTCCATGCTGGCTGCTCTTCATAACTGAATTAATTTTTAAAAATCCACACTAATTACCTTAAGAAATGGAGGGAAATGTCAGCCTAGCTACCTAGGCCACCTTCAGAATGGTAGTTCTACAGGAGGACAAATGTCTTTGTTTCTGAGTTATGGCAACCCCTTTTCAAGATTTTCCAGGTAGAGAATACTCAGAAGTGATTTACTATTTCTTTCTCCTGGGGCACCCTAGTCAGCTCTTTTAAGAAAAACCTAAAAACCTTTCAAGCCATTGTGTTTGAGGTACTAAAACCAGTCCCAGCCTTGACTAACTACCTGAATGTTTTGGATTTTTTTTAATGGGAGTGGTCTACAGGGTTGAAGGCTTAACCTTACATGCCTAACCTGGGAACCTTTTTCTTGTTGAGACTCTGGAGCACATCCAGTCATGTTAACCAGGGTGTGTGTATTGGGGGGGGGAACCAATCTGACTCAAACCACCCTGTACTTGCTCCTACCTGAGTCCTCCCATCTCAGGATAAGCAGGGGAGGCGTGGCAGGACGGTTACAGAGAGGGGAGACTTGCCTGGGGATCATGACAGTTCTCCAGAGCTGGGAAAAGTAATTTTGGGGGGAATGACAGTTCCATACCTTCTCCAGGTTCTGTGTGTCCTGAGAGGATGGATCCATTCCTACAATACACTAGATCAAGTAGCTGGCAGTGTTTTATACACATTTATAATGAAGGAAAATGCTGAAACCCCATGAGGTCTTCCAGCAACACTCAGTACAGTTTGGGGGAAAAGGAGGATGCATATATGTTTTCTCTTATGCATACACTCAAAGTATGATAAGATATTCTGTGCTTAATTTCAGCAGCCATGGAAGCAGTACTAAGAACTGTCCGAGAACCATTGCTATATTTCAGTTTCTACTAGACAAGATCAAGCCATGTGTAATCTCTAGCTACCTACTTTTTTTTTGGAAAGATTCCATAAATCTAGCTAATTTATCCTGCTCTCTATATTCATTATAACAACAATCAACTTTCAATATTAATCAATTCATACAATCTTAGCTGAATAAAAATCGAAGCACAGAGGGAGGCAACTGAGAGTGAAGTCCTATTAAAGTAACAGACAATTAAGGAGTTTTTATTTTTAAATCATTCATCTCCACTTCGTGCGTTCACAGACTTCCATCAACATCTCTTTGGAATTTCAGGCTGAGGTGGCACAAGAGCACAGAAGTCACATAACTTTGCTTGTCTTTCAGTTTACAAATGGAAGTTATCAAAATGACAAACAGAATTACTAGAAAATTCAGCTATGAATGTCAAGCAAAAATTACTACAAAAACAGGTCTTAAACAAGATTGTATGGAGGACCAATTAAGGTAATACAGTGGTGCCTCGCTAGATGATGATAATCCGTTCCACTGAAATCGCTGTTTAGCAAAATCATTGTCTAGCGACAAGCATTTCCCTATTGGAATGCATTGAAACCTGTTTAATGCGTTCCAATGGGGAAGAATCATCGTTGTCTAGCGAAGACTGGCCATAGGAGAGCCGCTTTGCGAACCGCCAATCAGCTGTTTAAATCGCTGTCTTGCGAAGCTTAGGTCCTGAAAACACCTGCTTTGCGCGCGCGGAGGGAGCTGTCAAAATCGTCGTCTAGCGAAAATCAGTTTGCGAAGCAGGAACCAAACATTGTCCAGCAAAATTCCCCCATAGGAATCACTGTTTTGCGAATCACTATAACAATCACAAAAAGCCAATGTCTAGGGAAAAAATTGTCATGCGGGGTAACTGTCTAGCGAGGCACCACTGTACCTCCAAGTTCCCCCATGCTGCTGTTACTACTGCCACTAACAATGTACTGTACATGGAAAATCTTCTTTATGTACCATTTCCTAGCAGAACTGATGGGTATAAAAAGATAAACCTCCCTGATTCCCACCTGAATCAAGAGTGCAAGAAAATGGGACACATTGGGAGAATCATGCCTATGTATCTCCTTTGCCAATATATTAATTTTTTAATATTATTTATACGCTGCCCTTCTTTCCATAGTGAACAGAAGACAGCCCATAACAATTAAACTATGTAATGATCAACAGTTTTAAAACACCATACAACCTATATTTTAAAAGCATTAAAACATTAATCAAGATTAAAAACAAGATTAAAAACAAATTATTTTTTTAAAAAACATTTCAAAAATCTCTAGATTAAATAAATAAATAAATATAATATTCCTGAGATTCCCCCCCCCTCCCCGATTGCTTAAAAGCCTGTTTGAAAAGGAAGGTCTCTTTGCCTAACAGAAAGACAAGAGTGAAGGAAGCAATCCAGCTTTTTGGGGCTGTGCATTCCAAAGTGTGGGAGCAACCACTGAGAAGACTCTTTCTCATGTCCTCAACCAAATGAGCTTGGGAAGGTTTTGGAGTTTAGAGAAGGGCCTCCCCGGAGGATCTTAAAAGCCAAGAAGGCTCATGGGGGGGTCTAAGATCCTTCAAACAGCATTGACCTAAGTCATATGACTTTATAGATAATAAGAAACATTCTTTTAACATTTAATGCAATGTAAAATTGTTAACAAAATGTAATGTGTTAATAAAAATTAACATACTGTATGAAAGCAGGAAGCTGATGATATCAACTAAAGTAAAATTAATTAACACAGCATTCAACACTAGGTCACATGAAAAAGTAACATTGTTTAAAACAAAAAAGTACTATTTTTTCATGGTAACATGCTTCTGTAACTATCTCAAACAATAAATAGAAATGGGTCAATTTTTACAATTTTATTCCTGAGACATGGAGGCATTCCCCATGGGACCAATGAATTCTGAGGTAGAAACCTCACCTAATGTCACCATCTCCTACCCATTCCATCATTTACCTACAAGAACCTTAAAAAAATTGTCTCATTTAGCCCACTTCTATGGAAGGAACTGCAACAGGAAGATTATAATTCATAACAATATGTTTAAAAGCTTTATAAAGCTTTTAAACTTTGCACCAAATGCCTGTAATGGGAAACAATGCTTGAAATAGAGAGCTTACTTACCTGTAACTCTGGTTCTTCGAGTGGTCATCTGTGAATGCACACTATAGGGTTTAATCTGCACTTGCGCAGAGGTTCCCGGAATATTCTAGACTTTAGCACGCGTTTGCCAGGACCGTCCATTAGTATGTGTGGTCCGTCTGTCCTGGTGATTGCCTCAGTTCCTAGAACAGCCTGCCGCTGCATCAAAGTGAGAGAGACATGACGGACAGAGGGGAGGATGGATGGGAGGTGTGAATTCACAGATGACCACTCGAAGAACCAGAGTTAGAGGTGAGCAACCTCTCTTTCTTCTTTATAGTCTCTATGAATGCACTCTATAGGGTGATTAACAAGCTGACTTACCAGAGGAGGGATATCACAGAAGGACAGAAGACAGAACAGCTCTGCCAAATGCTGCATCTGTCTTAGCCCAAAGGTCTAGGTGGTAGTGGGTGGCAAATGTAGAAGGGGTTGCCCATGTCGCTGCCTTACAGATGTTGGGGAGAGGTACTCCACAAAGGAAAGCTGTAGAGGCAGCAACGGCTCTGGTGGAATAAGCCTTAATCCTCACAGACAGAGGCTTTTTGGCAAGCTGGTAGGCCAAAGTTATAGGACCCTGTTAGGACGTTCGCCCCTCGTGGCCCCTGCCTGATTCCCCAAACACAGAGCACACAAAGGCAAACCAATACTCCTTTTCACCCGCTGCCACCAGTTGATCACTAAATCAACATTACTTATAGAAGGATAAAGATGCAGGTCCAAACTTCAGTGTCTTTTAAATAAAACTTGTTTATTGATTACAGATGTTTGATTATTAATCACTGGTAACTTCTACAGGTTTATTCATCATCAA